CATAAAAAATCAAAAACTAGTTTATTTAAATTTTAAGCACATAATCAAATAAAATACCGTGTTTATTCGCATATTTCTCCACACCTTGCGAATTTGCCTTTCCAGCATGTCATACAGGAACATCTAATTTATGTTAAAAACGTAAATTACATGCATGAATAGGAAAGTACGCTGTGTAATAAAGCGAATATTATTGAAATTAATGACTATTTAAAAATACAGAATACAGTAATATCAGTAAATCTTTTAAAATGTGTTTTTAAATGTACTAAGTTAAATCTTCCCATTAAAAATGGTTTATAACGCGTAAATTTTCTTCTTCAGATTTTCAGAAGGAATGGTACGTAACTAATTTTATCTATCTGCCTATATATATAAAAAGAGAGACAAAAATAGGTAAAATAAAATAATAACTTTAATTTGCAAGAGTCCCTTAACTCTCCATTTTAATTTGGTTATTTCCTCTCCCTATCCTTAAAATAGTATATACTTACAATAAATCTTTCTAAAGCGCATCATTTCAAAATTAATCCATGTGATATGATTCATGCATAACTGTAATGGCGGCGTTTCAACCAATAATAATTTCAAATTTGGAGATCAAAATTTTAAATTAATCAGCGGGCACAAATCTTAAAAGAAACTTACTCATTTTGCATCCAAACGTGCATCCCAAATACGTCGCATTCTCGCATCCATCCTGTTAACGTGCTTCCTCTCCCCAACTGCACGTACATTTTTATTTTTATTACTTCATTGCAATGAATTGTTATGAAGATGTAGAAAAGGTGCAAATGTGATCAAGAATGAGCGCCGTTACCATGTGTAATTTATGTTAAGAATATGCTTCTCAAGTACAAAGAATATTTTAATCGGCCACAATAATTGTCCTCTTTTATGCACTACACACCGCCACTCCATAAATCATGTTATTTGCCACAGCATCAGCTTCTAAATTATTACATATATATATGTGTGTGTGTGTGTGTATGTAATATATATGTGTGTATATGTATATATATATATGTAATATATATGTGTGTATATGTATATATATATATGTAATAATAAAATTCCATCCTGTTAGTCAAAAATACACTTAAAATTCTAACTGTATGTTCTTTTCATTTTTAATGGCGACGGTCTCTTATTTGAAAGTACGTGGAATTAAATCCACAGCCCCTTAGTCAAGTTGTTTTTCCCGCCTTTTCTACACGTACAGTTGTAGAATGTTGTGGAGATATTTAAAGCGAACTGGAATGGCTGACGAGGCTGACGTCATTTCTTGGAAGCTCCGCCTTTCCAGAGGCTATAAAAGGACTCGCAAAGGAATATCGGGGTCTTTTTCTTTAATGTAACGATGCAGTAAACTTCATAGAAAAAGTTATTAGTAGTTCTTTTTTATTTACTCCGGAGATATGATTTTTGCAACTGCTATTTTCTCCTGAAAAATAATAAATGGATCCAGTTTTTTAAACTTATCGTCTGATACTTTTGAGCTACGACTACATCTATGATTCTTCACCAATCTATTTATTCAGGACAAAAGCTGGTACATCACATATATATGTTTACATGTGTGTGTATATTTCAAACAAGGATGATCTAGGATATGCTTTAATCGTCTATGGATGACTCTATAAACATGTTACCCGTCGTGATAAAATTAATAAATATAGTCTAATTAAGGTATCCTCTATAACGTACTTTATTTATTTATATACGCGCTTACTTATCTATTTGCTTACTAGCATTTATTTACATATTTACGTGTTTATTATTAATTTATCTATTTACTTATCCGTTTGCCTATTAATTAATTTACTTATTTGAACGAGGCCTTACGGCGTGTATATTTCGAATTCATATTTTATTGATCACTACTTTTTGTCTAATTTCAACGTAAGCCTCAGGTGCTAGGAGTCTTTAAGTGCGTACGTAGTAAGTAGCGCCGAAAGGAGCTTATTTAAAGCAACTCACGCAAGAGTGTAGACGACTGTTATTAATTACAGTTGTTCTGTAACTATTTTTCGTTGCGTTAGCATCTTGTTTAACTTATGGATCTTTTTCGCTAAATGGATATGAACTTGAGAGTCGTCGGTTATTTTAACTCTTTCTGTGTGAGAAACACGAGATCTAAGACTGGAATAAATTTACAATGTTAAATCTTGTCATCGCTCATTTTTTGTCCGATGAGATAAGCGAGCTTAAATTTAACACACAAATACATACCAATTATTGCGATATCGTCGTCTTTTGAAGGAAGGGTGCATCCAACACCACAAAATTTCTAATTTCTTTAGACTTAACCAGGAAATAATTGTTATGTTAAAATGTAAATTGGCTAACATTATACTACTTCGGAATCAAACGGCGTACTAATTAATCCTAGTGTCTTTTTGCTGGTGGCAACTGCTCCTGGCCGTCAAACAGAAGCAAGCAGCATAATCATCCAACTAAGCAGAAAGTTACAGATTTTCTACTTCATTTGGCGACTTAGAATATCATACAGTGAATGTAATGATACTTATTAAGAATCACACTGACTTAATCCAGTATGCCCATATGCCAATATGCTCTTATAATTAATACGCTAAAGTAATTATTCCTATATTATTCAAAAGGTATCGCTAAGTTAAATTTTGAGTAGCTAAAATGCGTCCCAATTGCTACAACAGGGGTCATTTTTAGTCTAAAGGAGCAATTTTTCCTGGACTATTAATTTCGTTTTGGCATTTTGTGTTGGTTCACTATAAATGCCAGTTCACTTTTCAGATTGTTGCCACCAAATATTATCGCTCTGTGTTTTATTTAAAGAAATTAAATAATGAAGAATCTCCATAGATGTATGTATGTTTCTCGCATTGGGATAAAACAACGGTACCTAGAGCGATCAAATTTTGAATAACGTAATCTTCTAGCGAATATGGTCATACGAAAGCCCAAATTTGGAATTTGAAATTTGTTTTATTATCGATTTTATATTTTGTAACACTTTAACGAATTGTTGATTAACAAACTCAACGATTTCAAAGCGAGCAATGGCAATACTGTACGAAAAAAAAAAATTATCTCCAGTGCGCGAGACTGTGTATCGAAAATTCTAAGGCTTTGCTCATTTTCAAATTATTTTTTGCGATATTGCTGTTGAATTGAATTTTATATTTTAAGTGCGAAGAATATGATATTTAATAAATAAAGGCAACACACAAGAGGTTAAATAAACAAGCCTTCGGGTGTAATGTAAAAGCTGAAAGCTTTCAAATTTTATTATTATTATTTCCTTTTCTAGTGGTGTTTTTTTTTTTTTTTTTTTTTTTTTTTTTTTTGTGTGTGTGTGTGTGTGTGTGTGTAAAAGTTGATTACGGCAACAGATAGGCTTGTAAGCCACGGTGTATTGCTCAGACAAATCCCACAGAAATTGAATATTAAATGTGATTTGTGATTTCAGGTTATTGCAGTGATCTACAGTGTAGTGTGAATATGTTACATATTTTAAAAAAGGCAATCAGTCAATAATTTTTACAATATTTATATTGAGGTTTCTTCGCGGTACCTACTAAAGGTCCCTGATAAAAGTTATATAAATATGTTATTGTATATTGATTTGTGCGAAGTTCCAGAGCTTAATTTCAGCTGAAGTTCGGTTCCAATACTCTCAGTTTTCGAGTGATATTGCAATTCAAACCGGATTAATAAAATGAGCTCCGTTGTTTTTATTTGTTATTAAATTATTTGTCATTCTGATCTATACTGCTTGCCCTCCCTCTTGTGCATGTGCTTATGATTAGTTTATGTTATTCGAATATGGCGAAGCAAGCAAAGGTTACCTGTATAAGGAAAGGGATGGCTTCACTGGACAACTTCGTGGAGGAAAACTGGTTCGTATTCACGCTACACGTGGGGAAAAACCACGAAAACCAGCTTTGCAGCTAACTCGTTCGACTCTGATCGAGCCTGGGAAGAACTCAATCCCAGTATCAAGTAGTCTCCACTAGTCGAGCTGCATGCTTAAGAAAAAGAAGGATTTTGAAAGCGTACATATGTTACCGTGAAAGAACGAAATTGGAGAATGTCGACTTTCACCGGAGAATATCAATATTCACCAAATACGTCGGTGAAAGATCGAATATTGCACTACATTCTTGTATATTCGGACCCTCACCGGTATATCTCGACAATCACAGATATGCTTTGGTGAAAGTCGAAAAGAGAGGTCATAAAGTGCCATAATAGTTTAAGTTGTTGCAATGAATAAAATTTGAATCACATAATTTAGTAAGTTTTTTATTACTGTTATTTTATTATCTCATTTAGAACGTACTGTGTAATTAAGTAAGTTTTTAACTTCTATTATTTTCCTTTCTCATTTTGAATGTATTGTGTGTTTTAGGTTCTCATGTTCTTAAGTTCTTATTTCAAGTCTCAAGTGCGTTTATTCGCGACTGAATTACGGAGAAGAAAATATACTATTGTTATATGTTCAACATTCACCATTAGTACATGGCGAATGTCGACATTGACCGGTGTAAGTCAGAAATAAGAGTATTTGGAAAATATTTCGGACATACACCAAGAGACTATGTGAATGTTGACATTCACCGGTGAAAGTCGACATTCTCCAGGTTTCGGTGTTTCACCGTAACATATACATTGTTTTGACGTTATCTTAAACTACTTTTATAGATATTAAAAACGAATAGTTTAAAAAAATTAATTTTTCATCTTACAGTTATTAGAACTCTATTTAATATCGTCTATTTAATACACCGCCTCTATAAATCGGTTTATTTGCTTTCATCATATCAGTCATTTGCAATTAAAGTTGACTTATAATTAGCTCGAATATCTAAACTCTATATATATCGAATATCTAGCATGAATTTCGAAAATCTGATGCAAAATGCAGATGCTTTTTATAGTAATAAACTTGCTTAGGGAAAAATGCAAAATTCTTTCAGAAATATTTTTTTTCTCACAAATGCTTTTTATTTTCACAGTAGCTCTAAGAAGAGAAAAGGACCCCCAGACATCTGATCTCAAACCTAGGGATATACTATACTCCGATTTGCTCATGGAAGGAGATCTCATTCTGCAGGTAAAAGTTTTAAAACATTTAAATGCGTATAACTAATGCATTTTGAACTAATAAATATACATTTTTTCGAATTTGTTACATACATGTATGCATGAAGATGCTCTATCGATACATACAGAGGGTTTCAAAAACAATACGCAGATGAATACCTCCTGAACATGAAAGGCCAGTGCATGAAAAGGCCTATCTATGAAATATGTAAGAATATAAACGAAATAAAAATATAAGGAAAAATAAGAAATAAATCTAATTTGGTAAACTTTCAGTTTACGGCAATTTTACTCACATTACAACTTTAGTAAAAACAAATAACTCCTTACATCATATAAGAGGGCACACGAAAGGGATTTCCGTAAATGTAAACAGAATTTAAATTTTCGGACGTGTCCTCTAATATTAAACTAGTATACTATTTACTACAGATAATATCTTCTAAAGATCTTTCAGAGAAATATTTGGCCCGTTTTACACATATTACCCTGAAAAAATATGACAAAAATTATGGGACTTAATCCACTTTTACTGGAAAAGGAAACAAATCGATATGTAATATCAATATATCCAAGTATAAAATTCTGAATTTCAGCATTTCTGTCAATGATAATTATAAATTAATGTTTTTAAATTAATATTTTTCAAGCATTTTCAAGCATAAAAGTTATCTTTCAGAAAATTACGTTTTAAAACTAAAGCACGGCTATTTTTTGGAATATGCATAAGCGGTCTTCAGAAATTTTGATTAATGACATTTGTTCATTTTAGTCAATAACTTTAACTAAAGCAGAACGCATTTTTTTATTTTATTTTATTTTATTATTATTTTTTTAAGGACAGGAGAGTCTAATTCTTCAATGAAAAGAAAAAAAGATTTCTGGGCTGAAAGATCTATCTTAAATGTTGCATTTCTTAAATAGGAGTGGGTCTGATTAACTATTGATGAACTATATGCAGAAATATAGAAGTTATTCTATAAGTATTTTAGTTTGTAAATATAGTAGATGGGAAAATGTGAGAGCAAAATTAGCATTAAATTAGTATTATTTACCAAGAAGAAAAAGTTGATTTTAATCTCTATTAGTTCATGAAATCAAATAAAATTCACCATTTTTAACGAATATTCCAAAAGTAATAGCTTTATTTGCAATACTCAGCTCAGCAAGCATTTACCATAAAAATAATTGTTAAATATTTACTATACCTAAAAATTAACTCTCATAAGTAACACTTAATATTTATGGTTATGATGCTAAAAAACTTAATAGTTATGGTTATGATGAAAATAAGTTTAATAGTCATGTTTATGATACTTAACAATTAGTTTATGGCATAATAAAATTTCTAGAAAATATTATAGGTAATCGCAGCAATATTTTAACGGAAGTAGATTTGGTTTTACCTTAAAGTCATTGCATTACTTACCTTAAACATGTAATATTACGTGTGTTTAAAATGTGAAAAGCGTTAGGAAATACTGATCTTAATGTTCTTTTGCACGTTATAAGAAGATAACATGTATGTATAATGTGGAAGGCTTGCCTTGTATCCAGGCTTTTTGACTTTCACTCTCCGAGTTAAAATTACTTCTCGTTACGGAAGCAGTAATTATGGGATTTAGAAATTTAAATATTTCCCGTTATTGCCATACATTCCGTAATTTTAGGCTCTGAGAATTATTGCCACTTTATGCAGATATTTAAGTTGCGTAATACTGTGGTAAAGCAAATCTGTCTCCATTTTCAATAATAAGGTTACAAGCATCCATGTCAAGAAGCGTTGTTTCGTTATGTATGATATTAATGTATGATTTACTGCTGCGCCCTTCCCATATGTAACTGAAACACATGTACGCTCACGCAAGCAGACGCACACACACACAATGAAACGCAACCTTTTTTTTAATCCTATTTGCAAAATATCGTTAACACATTGCATTTTAAATCCTGCATCAATAGAAAGAAAGCATTCAAGGCATTTTAAACATGTTAACATTCTATCCTTTAAAAGAACTAATATTGAACAGATTAAAATGTTAACAATTGTCTAGTTAACATGCTTAACATTAATTAACACAAGACTACCCCTTAAAATTAATATATTGAACAGCTTTGATGAGATCTCTTTTGCATTGCATGTTGCAGTTTTAAGTTGCTTCATTTAAGAAAAATACTTAATGTAATAAAATCTAATGGGGAAATATTGTAATGTGTAAAAGATAAGAAATCGAATAGATGGCAACAGCAATAATGAAACTCTTTGAACAACATTGTTTGCGTTCTCATTTTTAAAAAAATTCTTATTTTACAAATGGGATGAGAGCAAGCAACAAATACAAGACTGCAAGATGATAAAATTTGTTTACAAATTTAATTGCATTTTGCATTTTAGCGAAAAACAGCACAAACTGCATAATGACAATTTTGTTGACTTTTATTTTAAACATTGTAAATGATTTCTTTATATATTTTATACTTTTGTATTTACTTTTTTTTTTTTTTTTTTTTTTTTTTTTGTGTGTGTATGTGTGTGTGGTTTTTTTTTTCCTTCTTTGTGTATGATTTCATTGTATTATTGAAAATTGATATTATTACTTACAATTTTGCCGGTTTTTTGCTTACGATGAGTAAGTCTCGTGTGATACTTTGTGGTGCACAAGGATTTCTTTTTCTTTAAAAAAAGAAAAAAAACTGCATAATGTTAAAAAATCAGTCTTTAGAAATCTGTTATGAGTATTAGATATCACTTATTGTAAGCAATAGCATTTTTAAATTTCAAGAGTAATTTCTATATAAAATATTAGAAAACGAAGTTCATAACATCAGCATACTTTTAAATGTTCATGAGTCGTAAACGTTTTTCAAACTAGTAATTTTGTCTAAATCTGTTGTTACTTTTAACATTTAACTGTATAACACCATATTTGTGTTCGAAGGATTGGTGATGAACTTGAGATAGATTATGTCAAAACTTACGATATTTTATTCCTTCTCTTTCATGAATTATATAACAATAAAAATCCTGAATAATTAATTAAAATTTGTGTCGTAAAAAATATATTCCTCTTCGAAATTAAAACTATTGTCTGCGTTTGAATACACATAGAACCGATGATAGCTTGGTAAAATTTATTTTACCAAAAGAAAAATTCCATAGTCTTGGAACTTTCCACAAACGTACTCCTACAGCTCTTCGCAGTATCATAGAGCACAATCAGAGTTACGCTTCAAACTATTAAGAGAGTACACAATGCAAGGCGCATCTAAAGAGGGAAACTGACACGGATATCTCTGAATACTTCGAACTCACGCTGACTTTCCCTTAAAAATTAATAATAAATCTTCTGAGAAAGGATGCAGTTTTCCCCCGGCCGCTGAGAAATCTCTAGTGTCTTCCACTTACCGAAATTACTGAAAGGCATAAGAGGGGTGGATGTGGTTACAGTTACATATAGGAATCAATTACACTTATTCAGTCACAATACCAATTACAGTTATGCAGCCACCGGATCAATATGTCGCCAAATGGTTGCCAGTTTGGCGAATTTTGGCGATTTCTTGTCAAATTTGGTGACAAAAATTAGTCGCTCAAACCACAGCCAGCTTGGCGAAATCTCGCGAATTCAATGAGATAGCCATTTACTCAATGTTAAAAACAGTTGCCCCTGTATCCTTGTTTTCCCGGCAACGCATCGCTTCTTTAGATTTTCATGTTATATTACACAAAAATTCACTAAAATTTTTTACATATACACAAAATTCGTAACACTAATAATATATCTAGAAACAATAAAAAAAAAGATTTACAAGTCAATTGAATATATAAGTCCTTGAGTTTCGAGGCTAAACATGTTTTAAAGACTCAAGATGTATGAATAACTAACCAAAACTAAATTTAATAAAATTTTCTTCTCGGAATAAAGTTAGAATCAGGCTTAGTATAAAAACTCTCTAGCGGAAGAGGAAAGCCTTTGCAGTACAAGAGACAATAAAAAATATTACTCTATATCCGTTCATTCAGTTACAGGTAAATTTGAAATTAATTAAATTTTAATCAGTAATCCAAATTATAATTAAATTTTAATCAGTAATCCAAAATCAGAGTGTCACTGAAATATGACAAAATAAAATAGTATTACCACAGAATTAGCAGACAATTTCATTCTAACTGCACATTTCCCTACTCCAGAGTGAATGGTCAACACTTCACTGCAGCAGAATTTAGTTCTGGCTAAATGCATTATTATAATTTTCATCGCTTGCCTTCGTGGTGTAATTGGAAGCACATTCAGACAGTAATCGGGAAGTCCGAAGTTCAGACTTCGTCGCGGGCATTTGCTCATTTAAGTTTCTTTCTCTAAAAAAAATCAAAATGAGTCTACAAAGGGCGTTCGAATTAAAATGAGGTGGGCGATAACCATCACCACCAGGATTTGGCGACTGAGTCCCCTTTCGCAGTCGCCTTTTAAGTGCGGGAGAATGAAAGAATTTTCTCTTTCCTTACCACGTGACTTCGTGGTATACGTAATCGAAAATATGTCTATCTAGTACTGAGAGGCCCGGAGTTTATTCCTGGCAAGGGCAATTCTCTTTTTCAATGTTTCCTGCTCAAAATAAATTTAATGACTCTACAATATTTTGTAGTGTGATGTTAATCTATAATAATGGATAAAGTAATTATGGTATCAATTTATTGAATAACGCAGATTTTTGATATTTAAGATTTGCCTTGTCATATAGAGACATATGTGAGCTTTTCTTGTCTGAAGTTTTATAATTTAGAAATTTTTTGGAAATCTTTTTAAAATGAAACTTTCTAAACCTAGATTTCTAAAGCTTCTTCGCTTCTGGACATCCTCGTAGTCATCACACCACTTTGACGAACGACTACCCACTATTCAATTAATAACTTTATTCCGTTCATTTCCGTTCGAGGGTCTTCCTGTTTGATTTCTTAATCTGAAGTTTCGAAATGCAAGCATCTGCAAATATCGACTATCGTTTAGC